CAAAAACCACATGATCACCTCACAGATGCAGAAAAGCAAATGACAAAATCCAACACCCTTTCATAAAACACTCAGCAAACTAGGAATAAAAGGCCATCCTTAAAAAACCCACAGGTAATATCATACTTAAAGGCAAGAGACTGGATGCTTTCCCTTTAAGAACAGCAACAAGAAAAGGATGCCCATTGTCTATTATTAAATATTGTACTGGAGGTGCTAGCCAGGGCAATCAGGCAAGAAAAAGAACGAAAAGGTATCCAGACTGAGAGGAGGAAGTAAAACTATTGAGAAAGGACATGATCTCATATAAAGAAAATCCTGTTAGAACCAATAAATGAATTCAGCAAGATTGTAGGATATAAGACCAATAATCAAAAATCGATTGTACTTCTATAATATATCCTACCAATAAACAACCTGAAAATGAAATTAAGAAAACAATTTCATTTACAATAGCATCAAAAAGAATAAAATACTTAAGGATAAATTTTAAAAAGGAAGTACAAAAATTGTACACTCAAAATTATAAAACATTATTGAAACAAATTAAAGATGACCTAAAATAAATGGAAAGATATCCTGCAGTCATGGATTGGAAGACCTAATGTTGTTAGCATGGCAATACTCCCCAAACTGATGTACAGATTCAATCAATGCAATCCCTGTCAAAACTCCAGCTGCCTTTTTTGGTGGAAATTTACACATAGATCCTAAAATTCACATGGAAATGCAAGGGACCCAGAATAGGCAAAACAATCTTAAAAAAAAAAAAAAAAAACCCATACTGTGATTGAATATTATGTATCAACAGCATCCCAACCATAATCCAGAAACATTTAAAAATAGAAGGTAATTGGCAAGAATACGGCTTACTGGAAAGCACCAAGTGGTCCACAATAACAGCTACCTCTTTGCTCTGGCATAAATCTCAACCTTAATCAGAAGGAACTGCATCTAGCAAGGGAAGAGAAGAATGAAACTGGGTTTCTAAAACCACTACTTTTCGGAAAGAGAGCCCAGTGACAACTGAGATATTGCTTAGCAACCAAGTTATTTAGGAACTTATTTCAAAAGTCTTTACGAGAGCATTAACAATAGCATAATTCAGGGATTAAGGCTTTAAATACCTTTTTACCTGTTCCCAAACCATATGGAATAAATCCTTAGCATTAACTACATATGCATTTATGTAAACAATGACAAGCAACAAGCTGAAAATGTTGTGATTTTCTTTTCCACATGAATTTTGAGTTCTCCAGCTCAATCTCTTATGTTCTACTCGATCTTGCCTTGGGTTTGGGGAAGAGAGAATGGACTTCTTCACTGCCCACAGGAGGAA